CACCGAACGATCTTTTCCTCTTTTTTGATGGCCTTCCCGAACTCCTCTTTTTGTTGGGTGATAATATGACTATGCTTTCTATTTCTTGAGTCACAGTCCATTCATTTTGATTTCCGACTGGATATACAAAATCTTGGTATGCATACGTATAAGCCTCTCGTGTGTATAAGTACGAACAATAATCTTATAGATCTCCCTTCGTAGTCGCTATCACTGCTAAAGTGTATGGAAACGGTATCTGATCAACTTGGAGCATACTAATGTGCACGTATGTTGCTTTATGTTGACAACAAATGTTGAGCCCTTGTTCGCAATGAAAAATATTATCTGGTTAGCAGGAGAAACCTGCACAGAGGAAAAAAATATCATGTCAGGTCAGAGATAGAACGATCAGGTTCATTATTAGGTCACATATATTGAATTTCATATAACATATACTATAATTACCTCATGTTTTTCAACTTTGTGCTCATTTTTCTAATTAATTTCTCATATTTAGTAGACAACTTCGTGAAAGTGCTATTTGCAAGATCTCTATTCTTATCCAATGACTCCAACAAAGCCACAATAAGATAGTTCTTTACTGCTTTTACGACCTCAATCACCGTTCCACTAAATTAGACGTCATAGTGGAGTATCTGTTTGCCTGCATGTGGAATCGTGACCATCTTTCTAATCTAACTTCATTCTACAGAATGTGAAACTTAAATAAGAACTAAGATATACAATAACCGTAATAGTATTTAGTAATTGGAAGTAGTATCTTACCAAGTAACCCCTAATGTTCAAGTTGATCTTGTCTAACTGTTGCATATTGTACTCGTACTCTATCAATGTGTACGCACGCATAGCTGCATTGAATGCTTGAGTTATGTTGTGACCAAATTTTTCGTAATGTGATTTCAAGTTTTGTAGTAAATGGTATGTGCAAATCCCATGACAAGTTCCTGGATAAACACGTTCAATTGCATTCTTGATACTATTGTGACGATCCGATACAAAGCATAGACCTTCCCTTCTTCCATAAGCAGATTTCAACTTTTCGAAAAATCAGGTCCAAAATTTATTATTTTCATTATCTCCAATTCCAACTGCGAGTAAGAATATGCTATTATTTGCATCTTGTGTACATGCTGTGAACAATGTACCGTCGTAGTGTCTAGTCAGTTATGTGCCATCAACAACAATAACAAGTCTACAATGTAACCACCCTCTAATTGATGCACCAAGCGCCATGAAGCAGTACTTGAATCTATTGTGAGTATCAACCTCTAATCTTGTAATTGTTCCTGCATTGATCCGTTCAAGCATGTAAAAGTAGCTTGGCAGCTGTTGGAATGAATATTTAGGATCATCCCTGATCATTTTCAAAGTCTTCTCACGAGACCTTCAAGCTTTAACGTAGTTCAAATAAACTCCGTAGGTATGTAAGATGTCATTACAT